CAACCAATCAATCAATCAATCAATCAATCAATCAATCAATCAAACAAAAAAAAAAATCAATCGATCAATGATCAATCAATCAATCAATCAATCATCAATCAATCAATCAATCAATTAATCAATCAATCAATCAATCAATCAATCAATCAATCATCAATCATCAATCAACCAATTAATCAATCAATCAATCAATCAATCAATCGATTTTTTTTTTTTTTTAAACTATGAAACCCTAGCACCCCCGTCACCCCCACCAAGCCCTCAAACGAACCTTTTTTTTTCCATTTTTTTTTACTTCTGGGGGGTAGCCCTCGGCATGCACACACCCCCCCACCCCCCCACGTGTCAGAACCCCCCGGGAGGGCCGCCGGATCGACTCGTATGACCGTACGTACGGCCCGTACGGCTGCCTGGGGGGCCGTACCTACGGCCGTATGGGCCGTACGGACGCTCCGTATCTGTACGGAGATCTACACATTTTTGTGTGCGGATATGGTGATTTCAATTTTGAATTAGGATAGAAGCAAGTTGCAACTGTTTCAGTGCCTTTTCCCCTCTTTTTGTTGACAGCGCCGCGCACGCAAAAACTCTCTCCTCTCCGCCCCCCCGCATCGCTCCCTCCCGCGCTCTCTTCCCCTTCTTCCTCCTCTTTCTCTCTCCCGTAACTGTTTTCTTCCTCTCTCTCTCTTTCTCCCGCTCCGCTCTTTGCACGACCATTTCCCTTTCTTGATCATCTGAATCTTTGACCCGTCTTGCGCTACTTCTCGCGCCTTTTCTCTTCTCACCCTTTAAGTCCAACGCACGACGCCCGGTCGATCCGTCGATAACTATCGTTGGCCAATCAGGTGTGTGGATCAATAGGATCTTCCTATTGCGCAACGAATCTGATTGGTTGAACCTTGAGTTCCAAGGGAAACATGGCGTTCACAGAGCACTCTTCTCAAAGTCTTCTCCTCCTGCTTCTCCTCCTACACCTCAGCTTTCCCGTCGCTTTCTCCCCCTTCTGTCTCCCTTGTCGCAACTATAAAACCCGCAAGCGTGCTCGCAAATCTCTCTTACGTTCTCGACTCCTAAGCCAACTTCCGGGAAGCAGTGGCTAGGCAGAGTGTTTTGATGCGAGTCAGAAAGTCCTGTCGGGCTAACGATAGGCTGACCGGTTGCGAGCTCGATCGCCACGACGGACTGTGGGATCTGGGCGAACCGTGTCGAGTTTACGACAACGGGGTGACGATCGCAGTGGTGGGAGTTAGCACGAGGCGACTAGGACCGCCGGTGCCGGTATGAGGATCGATGATTGGAGTTGAGTGAGTGATTGGCCCAGGGCCATATTGGAATTAACGGCGAATGTGCGTTTGTGGTTGCGGATTTTTATCTCTGGCGTGAGTGTACGACGGCTACACCGATCGCCCCTCTTTCAGATCTTGCCCCCCCCCCCCTCGTATCTCAAATCTCCTTCCTCACCTCCCCCTCTCCTTTCTGTCTTTGAATAATGATGTGTCTCGATGCTTCTCTTTTTCTCTCTTTTGGATGAACATAAATCTGTGTGCTTTCCTTACGTGAGGGAACTTCTTCCGGGACTCTTCCATTAGTTTCCAGGGTAATCCTCCTACGCAAGGACCTCGTCTTCTTGTCTTGTGAACGGTGGATGCGTGTGTACTGTGCAAGCGACCCATCTTTTCCTGTGCATGACTCATTTTTTGCACCTTCCACAGTGGATGCATGTATGGAGATGTGTGACCACCTTCTTTTGCGTTAATTAGACGATTATCGTCGGGATTTTATTCGAGAATGCAAGAGTGTTTAGATCTGTAGCTCTGAATGTACTGCGCATGCCATCTGCCTTATGTTGCACAACATCAGCAGCCGAGCCACGGGGCGGCCTCCAGAAACAAGGCGCCTGGGATCAACGTCGCGTTGACTCACTAAACTTGAGCCGCGGATCGAACCGTTAGTTACCTACATGATCAGGCTGATGAGTGCTTTCTTTCTCTCTCTTGTGAAGAAAAGGATTGATTGGAGGTTGCATGAGTGTTTTCTGTTCTTGATGACGTCGTAAGGACTTTGCAATTGATTGATATGTGGACTGACAAGTACCCTCCGATCAGGCACCAACCTCCCATACCTCCCGTTCCAACACGGCCTTTTCCTTACAACGAGGGAAGGACCCGTGTATGCGAGTGGGACGTACGAGAAGCCGTTGCAAAAATCGGCAGGCGATATTACTTCCCTTTGGCAAATCGTTGTATAGGGTTCGTGGAGGCTGGGTTTGTCATTATCGATATGCACTTCCCACCTTACTCGATATTGTTGCCATTTAATGAGTTGATCGTCATCCCGTGGACGGCCGTAGAACCCGACTGTCCGCGCACTCTATGCACCGAATGTCAGCGTTTTGAGCGCTACGAATCCAGGGGTTTCCACTACCGTGTGCGGAGTAAAGACGAGCATAAAGAGAAAAGCCACGCGGCTGAGACCATCCACGTCAGACTCGGAACTGACCAGTGAACGACGACGAGATTTGATACGTAAACGAGACACGCGAAGCGTGCCGAAGCCTTTTCGTTCTAAACGACGGGCTGTAGCCCGATGGGAAGCCTGACAATACTTTTTGGATTGAATTTGGATTTTTCTCTGTTCGCGCCGTGCCCACGTGCGCATTCTGCGACGCGCGAAAGCCATCGACTTGCTTCATCGGACCAACACGGGGGATTTCAGTTCCATCTGTGTCCCCACACTCAATTTCCAAAAATCCTTGGCACACCCCATCGTGCTGTTTTTCTGGGCCTCTTTCCGCACGCCTAACACTCGGAACGAAAGACAGCACGGGGCGTGAGGTTGCGCGTCACATACACGGTGCGTGTGAGTAGGATGCGCCATGCAGCCAGATTGCTTGGTACCTAAATTCCTAGTCTAAATCCTAATTGCAAAAAGAAATTCTAAAAGAAAACAATTTCGAGAGCCCGCGGCCTGCAGGGGCTCGACAAAAATTCAAAAATGATATTCCCACGCGACGGTCGCGCCAAAGTTCCCAGTGCCAACAGAAGAACAATAAAGAAGCTATGGCAACAGTTATTTCTTGTGCTCGCTAAGGCACGGTCACCTAACTGTCTACGCGGGACCTTTCCCTGTACTTGCCCAAAAATCCAAAAGAAAAAATGAACAAGAAGCAAGGGCATCCAAGCAACCCGGCCGACCGACCCATTCCTACGTACTTCACCCAACCAACCCGTCCGAACCTGTGAAGCAGCTTAGCGCAGAAAGTCACGCGATTTCAGAAAATAGTTCGTCACAGGCATAGCAGTTCCTTAGTACGGGATGTCAGGGGCGTCAGGTGATACGGTAAGGGCCGGAACGGGCTCCACGGACACACGAGGGAACGACGGACTCTCAACTATCTATCATCACCACACAAAAGAATATCGGAATAACGTACCTAGGGGACCTGTAGAGATATGGCTAGTCCTAGCGCCCGAAGTACCCGTGTGGGAAGGCACATACGTCTATGCTTCAAACAGGACTGAGTAGAGTAATAGGACTCTACATAGTCCAGTATTCGCGATCACTGTCCGGTCAGGTCACCTCCATCTGTAATAGACTGTAAGGTGATGGTCCGTAATGGATAAGGTAGGAGCGTGGGAGTAGACGTGTGCTGGGCAAACTACGAAAGTGGTAGGTTGGAAGGGAAGTTCCATAGGAATACCGCATGGCCAAGTGCCAAAGGCACCCCTCATGTCTCTAGAAATCCAACCTCTACAACAGCCTGGGCTTTCAGAAAAAAAAGTAAAAAAAACACAACAAGGGCCGGAGAAGACACCCGCGGGACACCCCTACCCACCAGCTTCCATTCGTGCAAGTGTGGGGTCCTTATGATGGCCTGGTCGTTTTTATTGTCATTATACAGGGGCGCGGAGACCAGTAGGGAATTGCGGGACATGGGTGGCAACCAGTAAAATAGGTGAAGTCGGTAGGAAAGGGAGATAGAGGGAGAGGGGGGTTCCGACTACCTTCTTCCCCTGAACATAACGCACCCTAAAAATGAATGTAYACAAGCTATATTTCCCGCCAGATACAGCCAAAATAAGGGTGCGTTGTGYTCAGGGGATGACGGTAGCGCTTGGTGCAATGGTGTAAATGCGACTGAATGCGAAGGTTCCGACTACCGGCTTCCCTCGAACATAACGCACCCTAAAAATGAATGTATACAAGCTATATTTCCCGCCAGATACAGCCAAAATAAGGGTGCGTTGTGCTCAGGGGATGAGGGTAGCGCTTGGTCCAACGGTGTAAATGCGACTAAATGCAATAACAGTAAATCGAGGCACCATTAGCACTCGGTTCAACGGTCTAAACAGCAGGGGCCGCCGGCTGCTGTCCAACTGGCTGGTTAGTTGCCCACAAATGGTCCTCTACGGAGTGGAGCTCACCCTTCCCCTCCTTGTACCTTGGCCCCGAGATTGCTTCTCGGCGCTCTTACGAACGCATTCGCACCAAAGACTACCCAAGTTTGTTGACACGGGAAAACCAACATCACTGCCACTTTGCAACCGGAGCATCTGGTCATTTGCTACAGCCGCTAAAACCCCCACCTCGCTCAGGGAGCTCCACCTGGAACCGTGATATGTCGGGAGGCGCCTTCACGGACGTATATATAAAGAGACCAGTCCCGGGCTGCTGTGTCTCGTCCGTGTGGAAGTCTCTCCCTCGAAGACTCGAAGAGGCGTTGGAGGACTTCTCGGTCATTCGTAGTTCTGAGTTCATGACGATGCCTCAGTGTTGACTAGCCGTTGGTCGAGCTCGGGCGCCTGCCATTGTGGCATCTTATAGCGTCCTGATCCATTGCTTGACGCAGCAGCTAAAGGAACGGTCTGTGTAGTGCGCTAGGACCCCAGCCTCTGGAACTCCTGCAAACTAGCGAGGAGACACTCGTCGAGTTTCCCCTGTCAAGACAAGTATCGCCATGGACTTGGTGGCATGCGGCCGTAGCTGCCACACTGCATGGTCATCTGGAGCTGCGTCCGTTTCTACACCTTCTCACTTAGAACGTGGAGCGTCGGAGTCTGTGCGTGTGTCAAGGAGAAATCGTGTTGTCCCTGCAATCGCCGTTCTTCGATCCACAACGTTTATCGACAACACAGGCTGTGCAGCTCGTCGTCATCGAAAGGAAGAAGGAAATCAATCGGAAGGGCGGAGGCTCCCAACAACTGTTGGTAGCAATGTATGCCCATCCCAACGTCGCTGCCCATCCTTCGTATCAGCATCCCGCAATGCACATGTCTGCACGCGAGCTGGAGGTCGTAATGGAGCTGTTGGCGCTGTCAGTGCCGAAAGAACAAACACTTCTGTGGCTACAAAGTTCATAGCAGACTCTTCTTCTCCGTCCACGGAACAGAGAAAGATGACACTGGTGTTCGTAGGGGCGGAGGTTGCGCCCTGGTCCAAGGTCGGAGGTCTGGGCGATGTGATGGGTGCCCTTCCAACGGCGCTCGCTGTAAGTTTCTTTAACCCTCGACCTGCCTTCCTCAGCTTATGGTTTCTGGCTGAAACGTCTCCCTTCCATCGTACCCACTTTTCCATCTTCCCACCCGTTTTGAATAGATAGCACTTCGATGGAATGCTCACGTGATTACTCAGTTGGTGGTTGCCGCCTCTGGAAGCTCATGAATGATTGTCTTATGTTATGTTGTGATGTAGGCTCGTGGACATCGCGTGATGACGATATCTCCGCGCTACGATCAGTACCACGATGCTTGGGACACCAATGTCACTGCGCAGGTAAGCTGATATATGTTCGATGCGAATGCGAACGGCCGGTGCCGAATGTCAAATTCAGCTCTCTCTCTCTCTCTCTCTCTCTCTCTCTCTCTCTCTCTCTCTCTCTCTCTCTCTCTCTCTCTCTCTCTCTCTCTCTCT